TGAACAATTTTGTGCTCTCATTTTGTACTTTAAAACTTCCATTGCTTAACTTTTGTATACTGCCCTCGTTGCTTTTAAGCAAACATGGCAGCACATGAATATCAATTGATTACCTAAATAGATTTAGCCAGTGCTTTTTTTGTAAAAAAAAAAAAAAAAGTGCCAGAACTCACATCGCCGCCGGCAGTAAGCACTCAGCGCACGACCACACACACCAATCCCAAGCCGAGCAGTGGAGCAGCGTCCCAAGCTGAGCAGCGCCCTCACTATCTTACTATCTGATAGCAGATAGCAGACACTACGTTAATGATGTTTGCTGCTGATCTGCTACGCCGTTCAAAATCACTTTGTAAAATCCATTGGAAAAAAAGGTGCCGAAACGCTGTTCCAGTGCGTTCTATGACAAAAAAGCCCTGGATTTAGCAATTCTGTCTTAAAATCTAATAGCTTCCAAAGCTGGTTGCCTGCCCACTCCTTTCTTGTCTTCAAGACTGAATGATAATCTCTGGCGGCTGCTGCCCCAATTTTTACACACCCAAGCCTGACTCTTTTTTTTCAACTCCGTGCTACCACTACCCATCATTCTGTGATTTTCTGCTTTTCTGTTGGCTATACAGTTGGTCCTGCCTCTTTCGACCACTCCCACTCTCAGCCTCCTTCCTGATCAGCATTAACTGTTCAGCATTGCTGATTTCCTTTGTACCTTTGCTCCTTCTGACATCATATATCTCCCACTGACATATACAAGTAGTAATCATAGTTCTCTGAATGCTAGTCCTTTCCTAGCCAAAAGTATGCAATCCATTGCATCACAGGAAAGTCCATAGGAATGTAGGAGATACCCATTTCACCTTGCAGATCACTCAAAATTGCTTCAAACACCAACACGAATAGGAGCACAAGTCCTCTAAAACTGTTTGCAAATTCTAGAACCTGTTCATTCCCCCAAATCATGTGTAACTTTGAAAATGCATACTTCCTAAAAATGCACATTTTTCGATATCCCCATGTTCATACTTCAATGGTAGAGACACTTAAAATGGGGTACCTTTAAGTTGTGCTATCAGCTTTTGTATGGCATAGAAGGTGTGCTCATTAGAAGATTTCTACCAGGTCTCATAATCTGATAAGCCCATTCACAGAAAGGTACCTTTCTGACAGCTCTGTGTGACTGACCACATCAAGGAGAAACTTTGTCTTCCACCCTTTTCCTTGATGTTTTATTCCCTTGCTTCTCCACCCCAACCTTTTGTGCACTGGGAGACGTTTCTCAAGTCAATGTGTGCAAAACAGATTATTTTACCACTAGAAGACCCCACTGCTGTGTTCTTCAGGAGCCATACAGGGCCATTGATTTTTATTCAGAAACAATAAGTGATTGCAAAGAGGAGTCCTGCTTCTGATGTGATTGGAAAATGAGTTCCTTTAATTGAGAAACAAGCTGCAATCATCACTTTTACCTAGATACATGCAGGAGGCTCAACATGAATTATAAAATATATTTATACTCCATGCCATGTCATTGATTTCAGCTATATTCATTAAGAGTACCTGCTGGATGAAACATACAACAACTTTGACTAAAAGTTCTACCCAGTAGGATCCCTCTTCACATTTGCTTTTGTTTGGTTGGCCAGTCAGATTCACTTTTTTTAAAGTAAGGCTTTTACACCAGCTTGATTTTTGAAACAAACTTTAAAAAATCCCCTGAACCAGAGCCTCCAGTACAGTCATACACTCAAAAATAAGATGTACTAGAAAACTGTATAAATGGCGTGTTGGATCTAGAATTAGTAATACTTAGAACAGACACACTTTAAGTTAGCAGTTAGATTTAGATAGATCCATCACTGGTTATTGTAATCAATCTATTACAATGGGTCTACTGTACGCAGGACTAAATCTGAATCCAATCCATGTGTCATGAGCTAGGCTGGGATATGGGTGCCAGGAGGCGCTGGAACAAGGGCAACAAAACATTAAGATAGACAGAGTCCAAAATCCAGTACTGAGGTTCAGTAACAAAGTCCAGGTTGTTGACAGAGAGCAAGGCAAGTGGACAGGATGCAGTGCAAGGGTCAGGCAAGATGCAGGAGGAGAAACACAGCCAACGGGCAAACCTACGTTGCTGAGGCAACACAGCAAGATGGAATACACCAAAGGAACCAAAGGAGCAAGTATCAGACAAGGTGCAGGAGGTGAACCACACCACAGCCTGAAAGAAGACTCAAGTTAGGGACAGGGTTACCCAAGTTGTTATAGCAAGGCAGCGTGCAGGCACTACAACAAAGAGGAAAACCCTGTGCTAATGAAGTTAGTTCTGGAGGAAGGAACTTACTTTCCTATAGCTCTTGTCCCAGGGGTCCCATATGGCACTGTTAAGGAGGCTGAGTGGTCCAGCAGGCCTGGGGCTAATCCTGAAATACCCAGGTAGTATTCTGGTGAAGCCCCAGAACAGCCCAAATCCAACATCCTTTCATTGCTTGCCCCAAATTAAGACTCAAACATCCTTTTATGAGGAACTAGAGCAATGGCTCAACCTGGTAATTTGTCTCCAGGCTTTCGGCTGGCCCAGATCCACAGGCTGCTGACTAGATGCCTTGTTTCATATGTTTGTTCCAAAACAAAATCCTGGGTTTTTAATTATGCTGCCACAGCTCTCAATTCCAGCTGGATTCTTTTAAGTAATTTAATTAATCCTGATGGTTAGTTTACCAGGCTCTTAGTCCTTTAATGAAAAGTTTTCTCATTTAAGAAGAAAATCTGTAAGTGAGGTTGAATTTAACCACTTAATCTGTTTCTGCACTAGTGAAAGTCTGCAACAGCATCAGTTGCAGAGCATAACATTGCATAGCACACCTCCAGTGGTCTCTCCTCCAGCAACCCAATATTGTGTGTGTCCTTGCTCTGTATCAGCGTGTGGTTCCATGCCTTGCCATAGGAGCATCTTCTTCAGCTTTTGGAGCTGCGGAAGCAGCACCATGAACTGTTTGACGTCTGAGCAGGTAGGAAGTGAGAGTGCTGCTCAGGTCACAACTCCTAGTGGAACATCCCTAGTCACTGTCTAGTAGATAGCAAAGGGGTGTAGTAAAATGGATTTTCGGGGGTTTATGGAGCCTTGCTTGCACTGCAATGCCTCGTTGAGGACTGGAGAAAACCACGTAATTCTCTATTTGCTACCAGCTGGTTAAAGTAATAGAGATGATGAGTTATTTCATCCCTCCTGCCCCATTAAATAGAAAATATTTACATTGTGTTGATGTGGCAGCAGTATGAAGGCTTAACAGATGCAGAACCAAGTTTTTAATTGGTACACATCAATAGAGGACACGGCAGTCAAACTTTTCAGACCACTCCTGTTACTTCCACTTCAATGAAAGACACTGCTTTGCATATGCACTTCTCCAGGCTCACAGAATCCTTCCAGTTTAGGGTGTGTGGTGACGCACAAGCCAACGCTTCATGCAGAAGTGCCATTTCGGTCAGTGGTGTGGTCTACCAGTGTGCTTTCATGTACTCTGTGAAGCCACAAGAAATGCAGAGAGAATTGCTGAAGGCCCTTTCCAAAGTAATCCATGCTGAATGTTGAATTAAAATCAGCTCTGAAAAGCCACCTCTTGATGGACATTAGCATACGCTCTCATCGAGCTGAACAGCATTTAGTAAAGATCGTGTTATGCATAACCATATCAGAGTCTAGAAGGAGTTTTATGTTCAGAGACTTTTGAGAGTTCATGCTGCCGTGTTCTAAGAAAAGGAAGTGGTCACAAAGAACAATTGAACCAGGCAAGTGATCCATAATTGTCTATTTCTAGCAGTTGGGAATCATGTACAATGAACCTGAGAAAGCACCGTGGATTTGCAGCCACTGTTTCCACTGTTCCCCCTCAACTGGCACCGCAACCTGTGTATATGGCTTTTCTTGTATGCACAGAAGAATTGCAAAAGATTGTACATTGCTCAGTTCCGTGCCTGCACAATGAATTAATGGCATTCAGTGGCTTTGATATGCATTCACAGCACCTTTGATATGCATTCATAGCACTCAGTTTCTGGATGTGTGAAGCCAGTGAATATAGACTGGGTCTGTGTTACTAAAGTAAAGGAGATAAGCCAGGGTGGCTTATATTTCCTAGCTCATATGCTGTCTGTATGCCAGGGGAATTTGAATATATACTAAGGCTGGCATGGATGGCAAAGCTGGGGAAAGTGGCACGTCGTCATGTCCATGGTCAGTTCACCACTGGCACATACTGCAGGAGAAATACACCACGATGGCTCTTTGTCTCCCTGTGCTTGTGCAAACAGTCCCAAAGTTGAATACATTTTCATTTTGCCATTAATCTCCATGAGATGTGCTTCTATCCCATTCAGGTACAGGTTGATTGAAAATAAAAATTTTGCATGACTATATTCAGTTCATTTTAGAGCACTACTTTTCTGCCAGCTCCTTTTACAATTAAGTAGCATCTATAAAGAAATCTTAAATATTTGATATCCATTTTGGTAGGGAATATTAAAATGCATTTAATAGTACCTATAATATTGATATTAAGCTTGATGGGCTAAACCTATTCTTAAAGCTGTGTGACAGAAAATCAGTTTTACTGCTTCTTCACTATGATATTTTAACTAAAAGTATGGTTCTACTTTTGGCAGCCAATCCATCAATCCAACAGCGTATTTTCTCCTTCCTTTTTTTTTTTTTTTATACTGAACACTAATTTGGGTTGCTTGTCAACATTCTTCCTCTTGCAGCATCACTGGTAAAACTTAACTTTTTACCTGAAGTTTCTCATTTTTCATAAACTATTTTTTCCAGAAGCTAACAAAGAAGAACTTTAAAGATGGACATGCTAAACTCATATTTTTAACTAAGCACTTGTTTTTGACCTTCTTCAAGAACAGAAGCAGGTGCTGTGCTTTCTTCATGAGTTTGAACATTTGTGTTTCGGTGACCTCAGCTCCTAAACTGCCTTAGGTATCTTTACTCTTTCTAGCACCAACTGAAGTGACATTTTCCTTTGATGTGGGAAATGGGCCTAATGAAATCACAGTTCAGTCACCCGCTCCCTTAAATGACAACCGATGGCACTATGTGAAGGCTGCAAGAAACATCAAAGAGGCATCACTGTATGTGGATCACCTCCCGCAAAGGACACACACGGCTCCATCTGATGGGCATATCCGCTTGCAGCTCAACAGTCAGCTCTTTGTTGGTAAGTCCACTTTGATAGTACGATTTCTCTGCTATTAACAAGGAAAGGTGCACTGATTCATCTAAGACTATTGATCCAGTTAGTCAGTTGATAAATGCATAAGCATGACACAAAATGTATCTATTTACTTATTAATTGATACATAGATTTAAAATGTGTATACCCCATTCTTTCAAAAGGAGCATGGAGCAGCTTACATTATTACATTATTATATCATTACATTATTAAAACCACCACCACCAATAAAATTACAATATCTACTATCCAGGCAAAACAATTTGTGAAACATGAACACTAACCCTAACCTAGGAACCCAAATTTATGGAATGCATATGGAATTATTTGTTGATAGCCCTGCCAAAACATACGGGGATTGACTCATAGCACTATCACTACCTGTGCAGATGATGTTGATGATTTTAGTCCTGCTACAAGAACTCTGAACTCTACAAGCTTACGTTTTCCACTGCTATTGACTCTCTTTAAATCATTTGCAAGCTCCTGGAAGCTTGGTATCAGGGGCTTAGACATGAGAGGGGCACCAACACTAGTGAAAGGAAGCGCTATTGAGCATGAACTTGTAGAGGGATATTTTTACATAGGGAACGCTGGCATTAATTTGCAGTTTTCAGCTTAAATTTTTTTAAGGTCTCAAAGGGCACTACTGTGAATGGATAGATTTGCCTTTTAATGGATTTGTCAAACATCAGGCCCAGTTCATCCACAACCAAGTGAAGCTCTGGGGGACTCTGCTCCTCTGATGTCAAAACTCCTGCTGTTGCACTTGTGGCTTCTTGGTTGTTTGGTTATAATGCCATCTGTGGGAACCTCCTTCTCATAAAATCTTGAGCATTCTCAAGAGCCAGCCACCTGCTCTATAATTCTGATCTCCAGCAATGTCTGGTTAGCACTCAGAGGAGGAATAACTTACTGTTCAGATCTCAACTATCTGCCTTCTCCTTGAGTTTTCCCCATTCCTTGTAACATGCACTGCACAGCGGACTGATTCACATTCTCTCTCTCTCTCTCTCTCTCTCTCTCTCTCTCTCTCTCTCTCTCTCTCAACTTGCTATCCCTCCCCCTAACCACTGCCTTGCTGTCCACTCTAAGTTTGAAATGTCACCTGCAGCTGCTCTTCCCACCTAGCCAGAGCCCTTAGCTAAGCAGAATCTGATGTGCCCCAGATCAATCAAAATTGAATTTACTTAATTCAGGCCTACTCTGTACTTATTAGAAGTTATTGTCAGTTTCCCCCTTTCAAATCTTTTTCACCAAAGCAGCTTCTACCAAAACAGGACTTCAGCAAAGTAGAAATAGCGGGGCTCGGGCCTACACAGATATATGATGCAGGAGTCACAAGGCATATTTGAAATTACAGAACATTCACAGTTATTTATATTCATAACATTACAGCACATGAAAATGTGTTTGCGGAATACAAATGAGTAGAAATGTTATACATGTGAAAATGCAATGCTCTAATTGAAAGTAGCTCGCAACACAGTGTGAGAACAGGCACAAAAGTGTTTCACAGAGAATCACAGATCAAGGACCCAGTTGTGTGAAAATGAGGAGGTACTTCCTATTCTTTTAGTAGTGAAATAAGAAACAGTTCAAAACATGTAGGTGCAACCAAAGTGATTTAAAAGAAACACATGCACAAAATTGATGCATACATATATAATACAATGCTAATATTTTAAGATACTATTAAATAACAGATAAAGAATAAGGAATATTACATATATTAATAACCAAGTTGACATGAATCTAGACCATAAAGTATTTTGGAAACAGCTTCATCAAAAATGTTTATGTTCCAACATATTCTTTGCTACTAAGGCCAGGTCATGTTTTAACTTCTGTTAAATTTACCAATCTATTCATTTAAGAGCACAGCTGAATAAAAAGCTGGCATCCTACACTACTTTCATTAGACAGTGAGAGACTAACAGAAAAGGCATCTTGGATTTTGGATGGGGAAAACATTTTTTTAGTACAAACACACATACATTAGTATGTATTAAACATAGTGTAGCATTAATATCCCTAGACAGATACAGAGATGTAACAGCCTGAAATCAAGGATAATTACACTTTTCTCATAGTGCTTTCAGAAGTTTTCAGTTTTTGCTTTGTGTAGAAACATCCTTTACTTTTGTCCAATATTTTACACAACTTCTCATATATTGAAATATTATCTAGACTGCTGGCAGTCCCTCAAAGATCTTTGCAATTTGGAGTACCTTGGAGAAAGACTGATGCAGAATGATTTTCACTTGAATTTATACATTCCAAATGATGCATTTGGAAGTCTGTAATGTAATATTGAATTGCAATTTGAACCAATTGGTTAAGGAAAAAAATCAATCCTGTGGTCCTGGGAAAACAGCTCAGGGACCATAGGATTATTCAGAATCATTGTTCCAAGACCATAGATGCTGCTCTAACCCCATAAAGGGGTCCCTTTCACTGCCCCCACTACTGAAAGAACTGCACTGGTTGTTTCCCAAGGTCACCAAAGCAGGCTCAGAGAGGTCAGAAAGGGGGCGTGCCACTGCTTGGAGAGGGAGAGGAGAGGCCAGATCTTGTGGTCTCTCCAGCCCCCATTTCATCTCCACTAGAGAGAAAAGCCAAAGACAGATGATGGCAAAGCGAAAATTACCTCTGCGATTTTCTCTTGTCCATCAGCAGTGGCTCTGCAGGGCTGTGGACACACAAAAGACTTCAAGTTCAGAGGTTTCTGTCTCATGAGGGTGCATCTTGTGAACTTTCTCTAGCTCTTACTGAAAATAATTCTACTTTGGATAATGTTAACTTCCATACCAGTTATTCAGTCAAATATATATTCATGGTGTTATATACATCAATCTTATTCTGAAGTGCTGTATCTGAGGTGATAATACAGTCCTTACAAGGACTATATCCTGTGCTCTGTCCCAAATTCTTATTTTCTTCTTATGCATATTGGGAGTTCTGAGATCTTGCTCCTGTTTTGGATTATGGAACAGCATAATCTCTTAACACTATGAAAATGGATGGCTACTCAGAAAGAGAAGTTTCTACTTGGATAAAAGCATTGTCATTAAAAGTAATAAATGAAGGGTTTTCCCATAATGCCACAAATCTAAGAGAAGAGAGGAAAGAACACATTGCAAATAAGAGCAAGGAAATGTCTGCCTAAAATGGGCCTGCAAAGCTTGTGGCCCACCATTCCACATGCTGCTGACTGGCAATGTATCATGGTGACCCATAAATTTTGTTTTTGACGTGGACCAGCAAAAACAGCGAGAGCAATTGCGTCAGGAAGGGCACAGCATTTTCTAAAAACTGCCACACTGAGCCTGTTGGCTATTGCTTCTCAGTCGTACAACAGCATTGGCCTTATTATTGGTTCCATGGCAGTGGTGGTAGTGATGATGGCGGTTGTCGATTTATATCCCACTCTTCCTCATGGATATCTGTGTGGCTTACATGATTGTCCATGACCTGTTTTAGCCTCTCAGGTTAGACTGGGACAGTGTGTTTGGATCTGAACTTGCTCCTAGTCCAACACGGTAGCCACAACATCATTTTGGCTCCCTTGCTAAAAACTGTATTCTTAAATAGTTTCAGATGACATCGTTCAGACAAGTGCTTGAAGTAATATGTACCCCTACACTTTACAAATTGGTAGGTTTGTTAGGTTTCAAAAAGGTGACAAGAGGAAAATGGTTTTACAGTAACACAGCTACATGTCACGGTGAAACCTCATAGACTAACTACTACTGGGACAGGTTTAAGGTTTTGTTCTTGGTATATGAAGCCTGAAACAACAAGGGACCTGGATATTTGAGCATGTACCTCCCCCCTTCACAGGCTGCTCAGTCACTGAACTTAATCGGTGAGACAGTTCTGGTGATTCCACAGTCCACATGGTCTTGCAGAGGAACCTTTACTGCACTGGGTCTGTGTGGAGCTCCCAGCTGTTGGTGTCAGACAGGCACCTCGATGGGTCTGTTTTCAGCACCTGCTGATTACCTTGATATTACCTTCCCTGAATGACCAGCTCAGTTTTCGTTGACAAAATCTGATCTTGTTACTAATAGTTTTGTATTATAGGTATTGGCAGCATCTTGTAATCATGCATGTCTCAGATATTTTACTGGATGTAGAGCAGTATATAAATTCTTGTAAACAAATGAAGAAAAGAAAGCCAGAGACGAGCAATCGTTGCAAATCCAGGCAAGGTTTTATAGAGTGTTGCAAATGCCTCAGCAATCGCTTAACTGGGAGGTTTAGATTGCTAGACTTACCTCTGCCATCTCGCATCTCAGCATGTATTCATTTTTTTCTGCTCCATTCTACCCTCCCATTGAGTAATCAATATAATACACAGGAATTTCCCCCCAGGAAAATTTCAGCACAAGATGAATATGGCCCAGCTTTCCTTTTTTGAAATGTATGATCCATCCCATAGATACGTACAAGATAGCCATGTGGTATCAGAGAACACATTGCTCTCTGAAGTGGTGTATAATCTGACTCATCAGTAATGGCATTGCTTATCTGTATTTCCCATTGATGTGTTATATATCCTTTCCTTATCACTTCAGGGTGGTACATGAGTGTGTGTGTGTGGGTGTACACTTGGGCTTGTACACACATTTGGAATGGCACAACGGTATCTGTTCTGTTTTCCTCTGTAGGATGGTGTCATGCTAGTTAGAGGAATAGAAGATGCTGTTGTTCTGTGTTTCTTATTTATTGGGCTGGTGGTTCACACGCAAAGTAGTTGGAGCTGGATTCTGACTTCTCTTTCTAGAGTTCCTAGTTTGCATGTAATACTAAACAACTCAGCTCAGTCCTTGGGTTATTTGCTTGCTTGTAGAGGGAGCTGTCAGGCGGCATGTACCAGTCTGTTGCCGTCTGACGTTCACAATAACCCAGCAGTATTTTTAAAAACGCAACAACTAGTTGTGCTTTGCATACTAGGCCATTATGTTAACTTTGCTTTGAAAAATATAACCACTGATTGTCATTAAAAATTCTTATTTCCTGAATTCAGGTATTTTTTTGGTTTAGTACTTACTAATCACCAAAGTCTTAATGCACGTATATGTCATGGACATGACATGAAATCTAGAATATGGAATAATAAATAACAGAAGTGTTCTGTTATTCATTTGTTTGTAACATTTATATATTCCATTGCTCTGAGATAATGCAAATCTGTGCTTCGATTTGCCACAAAACTTTGTCTTTTATAAACAGCTTTAGGCACTTATTGTAATTACTTGACACAAGCCAAAGAAACTTTCAAGATATCAATTTCAGCAGCTGCTATTTTTTGATATTTTCAAATATTTTCACAGAGTAATAGAAAAACAGAATGGAATGTCTGTGGTTCTAAATTTTATGGAGATTATTACAGACCAACTCATTTCAAAAGCGTATGTGAATTTATGTCTATTGCAGGTGGGACAGCATCCAGGCAAAAGGGATTTCTGGGGTGCATTCGATCCTTGCAGTTAAATGGAGGAGCACTTGATCTGGAAGAAAGAGCAAAAATAACCCCAGGTGTAAAACCAGGCTGTCCTGGACATTGTAGCAGCTATGGTAACTTATGTTGGAATGGAGGAAAATGCAAGGAAAAATACAATGGATTCTCTTGTGACTGCACTTTTTCTGCATACACAGGGCCATTCTGTAAGAAAGGCAAGCATGAATTGTAAAATTATTTTGCATAGGCTATCAGTGGAACTTAGGAAATAAAATAATTATCTTTTAAAAGTGTTATTAATTTGGAGTACAGACTATGTCTTCTATTTATTTTTAAGTATTGCACTTGTGTATTCCAAAGAAAGTTTTGTAGAAGACTTGTTCATTCTCATCGACATGCGCATGGTGGGCTTGTCGTGAGCGGAGCCGGCTGGAACTGGGGGTCAGACTAGATGGCCCAGGAGACCCCTTCTGACAAGCTCTGTTTCTATGTTTCTATCTTGTACCAATAACTGTGAAAATGACAGTCAGCTTTGCTAAACTATAGATCTGTGGGTTAAATATAACATATACTTTGCAAAAATATGTATATAATAACCTGCCAAATTAGACAGTTCTGTGTAATGCAATTCCATTTATGGAAAGGCTGTAAAGAGAGTTAAACTGCATTGTTCAAACGGATAGCTGGATTACTTAGAGTAAATGAGAATGCAACTGTGTGAGACCAGTCATGACTCTTGCTGAACTTCCATTAAGCTAATACTTTGATGGTACAATCCTGTATACATGTCCAATCAGAAGTAAACTCACTGGGCTCAAGAAGTAAACCTCAAATTTAGGATCACAGCCTAATAAGTGAAAGGCAAATGCCGTTATAGAAGTCAATGCTTTGCATGCTGAATCTGTAGTGATCGATGTAATTAACTAATGACAGAGCTATTTTTAATTTGGGTTGGTGCTGGCCAATTTGTGTCTTCAATTTTGGGGCATTTTGCTTAAATTTGAAGAAGTCAGGTGTGGAGGCTTTGTCTTAATTTTCAGACTTTTACCTGATTATGTTAACTTTCAAGTTATCATTGACAAAACAACATGCACTCCAATGAAAGCACATAATAAATGCAAATAAATGTGCATTTATAAATAAATATGCACTCTTAACCATCCATTCTGGCCATTACAAGGTATTAGAAAATTTTTGCCCTGTTTGGCCACTCTGTCCACTATTGTCTCATGTGTGAAGAGGGATGCTTTGATGTGGCTTTTGGAAAATACAGTAAGGGCACAATCTTGTGTATATTCAGACAGAAAAAGTGGCCAAAGTGTGTCGGGAGTTGGTGGACCTTTTTCCTTCTAAATGTTCACAGGACTGTGCCCTTAGAGCCCAAAAGAAATAATTGCTATTGTTCTTTTCTTTTTGCTTGTTGAAGCACTCAGAAAAGTTATATTTATAGCACTTTGCCAAACACCGAGCTTGGGTGAATTCAAGCTACCTTTTCATGAGTTGATGTTGCTGGAAACTGGCAAAAGCTAGAAATTTTCCTCTGCCCATTGCACACTTAGTGGCTTCTAAGAACAAGCACTAACAATCATGGCTAATGTTCTTAACTGCTGTGTGGAACAATGGCAACTCTATTTTTTTCCCTTTCCCTTGGAAACATCATTATAATATAAAAAGACGAGATGGCAGCCTTCGTTTATTTCAGGATTGTGTTAACAAAACAAAATTGCACATTGTTTCAGAGATCTCTGCATATTTTGGAGCTGGCTCTTCAGTGACATACAACTTTCAAGAATCCTACAACTTGGCTAAAAACTCCAGTTCTCATGCAGCTTCTTTCCATCCTGATATGACGCTGACCAGAGAAATGATCACTTTTACCTTTCGAACAACACGGATTCCAAGTTTACTGCTCTATGTAAACTCCTTCTACAAGGAGTATCTTTCAGTTATTCTTGCAAAAAATGGTGAGTGTTCCCTTTGGAATGGTTTAGCAAAGTTGTCATTATCATGGATTTCCAAGGATTAGTAGACATCTCTCAGTACACTTATGCATCCTTGCCAGGTCCTTCTACAAAACCTTGCATAGGTTTGCACTGTTAAATGTGAATTTAACTGAAGGGAAATTGAGGCTGAGGAAAGCAGCTTCTCTCACTGCTCTTTTGCATGCACTGAATATATATTCCTATTATATACATATATTGTATATTGCTAGTGTGTGAATTGCTAGACCACTAATTTTTGGGAGAAAGCCATGGTGCAGGGAGGTATATTCCTTCAGCCGTAATGTACTCAGATAGAATTCCTCTTCTCTTCCTTGACAATTTCATGTTTTCAGTTCCTTTTACATTCCTGAGAAAATGTGTGTGCACGTGTGTGTCTGTATCCCACTACCAAACAGTTCATGTGCTATTTACTCAGAGCATGTACAGCTTCATTTCCCAGAGGTACTCAAGTGTTGCACCATTATGACTACAGTCTTCAAATAGGATTGAATCATGGAATAGTACATTTGGAAAGGGGCCAGGAAGGCCATCAGATCCAACCCCCTGCTGTGGCAGGTCACCTGTTGCTCAATGCAGCTGCTTGGGAAAAAGCACAATTTTGTTGTAGAAAGGGATAATCCATATTCAAAGCAAAATTAATTAATATCAATAAATACATAAGACCAGCCAGTTACTCTCCATCTATAAAATATTTTTTAAAAAGGTTGTAGAAGCAAGGATGCTATTTCTGACACACTTAGTCTGCCTGACTTTTGTCCCACTCATTTTCCATGAGCTGTGCAATTTTGGGGGATAGGGGGATGGATAAGGCCCATGTTCTAGCCCTACTTACACCATTGGGAGCAAGGGAGGGAGGGAAATAACAAATTCTCAAAGCTAACCATGTCTCCATCCTGTCCCAGCAGTGACTCAGAGCATATTTGGGACAACACTGGGGACGCAGCAGGACTTACTGTCATTGTGCTGCTGTTGCAACTGCTGTGATTCAGCTGGATGGCAGCAGGGACCGGGGGGCAGCCAGGCACACACTTCAGATGCAGACTTCCACTTAGCACCACCAATGAACAACAACAACCAGCATGGGTGAGGCCGTGCTTGGGGTGCCACCATGCCACCAGTGGGGCTTACTAGGGGATGCTTCCTTGGGACTTCTGCCCTGATCTGCACCATGTGGGAGCTGTACTAAAAGCTGCATCAGGAAATTTCGGAGCTGGAAAAAAGCTGGTGCATTAATGAGCTTGTGTCATGGTGTGGGACTCCTTCTGAACACAAATTGATCAGATAAATCCATCCGAAAGGCAAAAATCTGTAACTAGGATTGTCAGTTTCTTGTCAGAATGGACCACTTCTTCCTAAAGATAACAGACAGTTCAGACAAGGGTGGCATCAAGGTTTGGCACAGTAGGGCAATTGCTGAAGGTCCCCATGACATCAGGAGACCACATCAAGAGCCTCCTTGGCTAACTTCTCCTCTTCAGCCTTGTTAACCCGCCTCTTCATCTGCTTCTCCTTCTGACCCAGGCAATGGCAGTGGTGAGAAGAAAGAGCAGTAGATGGCATGACCTTTCCGCTCACTTTCTGCTCATCAAGCAACCAAGCAAGTTTGAGCAATGATGTGAAATAGGGAGCAGAACAATAGCAGTCAGTGACAATCGTGGTGAGGAAAATAGACAGAGGGCCATTGAGGGTGTCTTGCTTAAGGTCCCTTATAAACCTAGATCTGAACCTAGATTCCACACAACAGTCTAACGTGCCTTTGGAAAGGAAGATACATGTTTTGGCTAGAAAGCTGATTCTGTTTTTGAGCAACAAGTAACCAAATAATGTAGCCTTCAACTATCGCAACTGTTTAAGTCAGGAGATTATAGTGTTGTTTATGGATTATTGAAAGATGAACAGAGACTTTCACTTTCCATAGTTATACCATTCCATAGACAATAATAAGAGTGTCTGCATATATGAATCTCTGGGTCTAAATCACGATAGAATACAGAAGATAAGTTCAGAATTATTAGATGTAGAATATCCAGTCTTGGAAAATCCAGTAATTTTGAATTGGGCAGATATTGGGGTTCCTTCAATTACACAGTGCATGCATAATGCCATACTCAAATATATGTGTTACATGAAATGTAACCATAAGTAAAGGTGTAAATTTCTGGAAGTGTTGTAGACATGGGGGGAGACATTGTGTTCCAAGGCTTTTCACAGAAGCCTAGGTAAAAATGTCAATTTGGGGAAAACTGAAATATGCAAAATTTTCTTTCTTATCAAACAATTTTGTGAATGGAATTTTATACGTACTTTTAAACTGGTCTGTCCTCCTGTAAAATTGAAAATTGAAAAGCTTGCTATCTATCATAATTTAATTTCTTAGAACCATTCATCCTTTTTTTAAATCCTTGCTTGGTGTGTGTGTGTGTTTCCTAACTATTATTTTAAAGTACCATTTTTGCTAAATCTACCCACCAACACCTTTTCAAATGCTTTCCTGGAAACTGGAAATATTCTGCAGCTATTTTGTGTATAAAGCAGTCATAAACCTAAAATATCATTTTCCTAATTCCTTCAGGAAGTTTACAGATCAGATACAAGCTCGATAGTCATCAAGATCCTGACATCTTTAGCATCAGTTTCAAAAGCATGGCCGATGGGCAGCTTCACCGTGTGCAGATTAACAGAGAGGAAGAAAAGCTATTTGTGGAGGTACTGTTACATATATCTATGGAGAAGGATTGTCATCCAAGCTGACAACCCCCAAAGCAAAATAAAATAAATAAATACTGTATAGCATGAGCCCCTGAATAAATATTTGTGTGAGAGAAGTGTGTGTGTCAAGCGCTCAAAGAACTAAAGGAAAACACAGCAGGTTTTTGCTCTGCAGAGAGAATCTTACCTAAGTATTGCCTTTGATGTTCACCAATTACCATTTTAAAAGGTCACATTCTCTTTCACAATGCACTGCAGTGGGGAAGACCACAAAATCCCAGTTTGAGCTAGCTTGCTAACAAAAGCTTATTATTGTAATAAAAGCTTTATTACATTTCTCTACCACCCATAGCCAAAGCTCCCTGGAAGGTTCACAAGAATTGGAGAATCATACAATTAGAAAAGTCACTGGGTCCAATCCCACCCCCACTCAATGCAAGACTCAAGTCTCCCATCCAAATCTAACCAGGCCTAGACCCAGCTTAGCTTCCATGATTAGGCAGGATCCCGCACTTTAGCATAAATGGAACAAGCCTGGCTACAGTTTGTTTATTTATTTAAAACTTCTAGATGGTCCCTTACCGTAGTCTCTGGATGGCTTAACTATGCAAAATGTAAAATATAACACAGTGTAGTTGATCACTTATCTCATACAATGGATACCCAGAAAAATTATGATGATTTAACATCTCAAGCACTGAAACCTTTGTTATTTAATGGAAATGAGCCTTAATTTGAGGAGTTTCGCTATATGACCATCCTTCCCTATGCACAGTTGTTTTTGTTTGCAGGTTTTTTAGACTGTTCATTTTCCTTTCAGTGTCTAAAGAACAGTTCTGGTGAGTTGCTCTGGAGTAGGGAAAATGCAGTATTGAATTGTACAAGTGGAAGGAAGTGTTGTTAGAATTTTTTAACTTGGATATTTGTGCTATTTTGCTGTATCATGGTGCCACTCGTAGTGGAAAAGCTTGAATTAAAATTGTGGGCACATTTTAGAAACTTACATCCCAGAAATTTACATAGTATAAAAAAAGAGTATTACAGAGTAATCCAGAAGCAGTAGAAGAAGAATATGTAGGAAGTGAACCAACAAACTTGTGCCCGCAGGGCAGAAGGTGCAGTGGGGTAATATTTCCCCTTTGTACTTTGCCTTTGGGCAATTTTCGTTCTGGGGGCTTTGTTTTCTTTTTTCTTTGACTGTCACAATGGGGAAGCAATAAATAGGAACAAGAGAGGGTTGACTTTAGTGGATCTTGAGTCACCCCTGCACACCTCTTTTTATCCTTTCCACAACTGGATTTTTCACAGTAGAGGAGCAACAGCAATGGACCTTCCTGCTACCATGTGGAGGAGGATTTTGGAGGACAGACCTTCTATGCTGTCCATGGATCTTCTCCATGGACAAGGGAGTTCTGTGATATCCTGTGGCCTTTAGGACATCCTGGGATTTTCAGCCTAATTACCTGCCCCATGTCTACTGTTTGGTGTGGAGCCAGATCCAGTACAATATTTCCTATGATTAATCCTTCCCTCTCTCATCCTTGTTGAACCATCAACCCAATCATACTAGATGCAGGAAAAATATTTGCCTGCAATGACTGGAAGAAACAGGAGAGCGAAGTGAGAATGAGATGGGTACTTTGGGCTCAGCATCTGGCCGTTGAATTACTGCCTTTATCCCTGTGCAACAGGAGTTTCTTGGTAGCACTGTAGTTTAGTACAGTCCACAGCTGAAGAGATGAGCTCTGATAATTTAATGCCTATGCTGAGTCGTTAAAGGAGAAGGGGTGTGTTTAAATGCCCTGTAATTGAAAAACCCACAGTGTTCAAAGAAAAATGGACATTTTTACTTGTCAGAAAATGTTCTCAAAATGACTGGGTATTTCTATGATGGAAAAAGAAAACAGTTCAAAACTAGTTGTTTGATGGTACAAATGTTAATTACACACATCCTTGAAAAAGCACAAAATCTATTGAAAACTACTTTGAGCATATACGATGGGCATGAAGAGTGGGGGACATAGTTTTTCCAAAGGGTGCATTGTTTGGTTGGTTTCATGAATTGAAGCAGTTAGACTAGAGGTAAATAAGTGGTGGAAGAGAAATAAGCAATGTGTGTATTGTGGAAAATGTTGGCTTTAAACCATCCAGAGCCTATGGAAATGGGGCAGTATATACAAATTAAAAAAAACATTATAAATAAAATAAAAATGCATAAAACTGCCTCTGTGTTGCACCTGCGCACAGCAACACACTATGTGCGATTTAGTTCTGTTGTATTGGAGTTGGGATGAATATAAATCTACAAAATCTATTTTAAAAAAAAGTATAAATAGTTTGTACCTGATTTTCCAAGTGTATTACAATTCAAGACTTCTACTTACTTTCAGTGGAATTTGCACGTCTGCTAAGATTAATGGGAAAGTTACTTGGCAAATGTATTTATGCCTACCTCATTACACAATTTCTGAGAGAACTGGAAGATTAGCTTGCATAAATCGTATCTGAATGTGGTAGCATTGAGCCGACCCTATTGTAGAAATGTCATAATCAAAAAATATATTCAGCAAGGAGCTGGAGGAGTGCAGATATGTGCTGTCATCAGCATTTGAAGGCAAGCAATTTATGTAATGACACGGGAACTTTTGTATTGTAGCATTTAATTGTTTCAAATTTAAAGTTCATTCTCAGATAACTAAGAGCTTTTATGGTTGGTTAGTGTGCCTTGCCAATTATACTGTAGTTAGAAATGAATAAAAGGAGCTATACAAATGGATTATAAAAATAGTTGTTTATAATTTATTGCTTAAACAGTATCTTGGCCACAATAACTATATTCAGACAGAGGTATAAAAGCTTATTTATAAAAGCATTATTTGGATTTTAATGGATGTCACAACATTTGAGCAATGCTCACTTACATGTTATCACTTGACCACCTTTTCTTACTTATTTTTCTTCCCACAACTTCACCTTTCTTCAAACCACATATCCCAAATGGAACTATCTTCCATTATGCTGCTTTGTATATCTCACGGAATGATACTGAAGGTTAACCAGAATGAAAGGATGAAGTTCTTTCTGTCTTCGGATACACAATTCAATGCAATCAAGTCCCTCACACTTGGCAAAATCTTAGGTAAGTACAGTGTGGCTGATTTTTTCCTCCAAAAGTGGAGGGAGATCAAAAATGTCACTACACATATATAAAAATAATAGCTCTAATCTTGTTGAGAATTTTTTTTCCACATTTGATTAGGCAAAGAGTGACAATCAAGGTGGAAGCCTCATTCTTGTCAAAGTGCATACATACATAATCACTGGTAAGTGCTTCTAGCAAGATGAGCAAGTGGATTCCATTAAAAATAATTTCATACTTATCTTTTTCATGCTGCAATCAAGCATAATGAAACAGGGCATTTTCAGTGCAGTCTAACAAAGAAAAGACTAAATCACACTCAAATTATAGGTAAAGACAATGGATTAGTTGCCCAAACTGCAAAATTTCTTTCCTTTTGAACAGTATAGTACTGTGAACAACATCAGAGAAGTTCTCTTTGCAAAAGATCAAGTGGTGCAGAGTCTATGACACAATGAGACCTAATGGAACCTCACTTAGACCACATCACTGTAATAGCCTAGACTTGGAACAGAGACGCCCAGGTTCACAGAGTACAAACATGGCATCTTACGGGATGAATAGTTTGAAAATTACTGCTCACTGGGTCCCAGGTGGTGATTTGGATCATGATTTTGCTGTCTCCCATAAGCTGTCTTTCATTGTGTTCCCTTTCTTTGTGAGAGCTAGGGTTAAAGAGGCTGCTTAAAACTTTATATATTGCTATCCTGCCCTGGATGCCAAATGCCATTTACACCTTTTTGAAAGATGTGCATATCATGGGCAGATAAGGTCGCAACAGGTGACTTTCCTCTTCCTCTCCCCATAACAGCTACCTGCAAAGGCTCTCCTGCAGATTGGGGGAACCTCCTGAATGGGTTTGCTGTGGGAAAGAAGGCTGAGGGGCAAGGAACATGCAAGGAGACAGAGGCTCCTCATGTGAGCTGAGGTCTCATTCTCCCAAGATGCTCAAATCGTCTTGATTTTAGTGATTTTCAGAAAGTGATTATCATGTTCTAAACTTTACTAGGTACATGTGCAACTCTCTGCTCCAGTCTGTTTGATAGCTTTCAGTGCCAGGATTTTCTCTAATCCTAATATCATCTGCTTAAACTTTGGAATTCCAGCAAGGTGGTGGCTTGGCCATGTTATTAGGACAATGCCTCCCTCTCACAAATATTTCCACTGTTGGTTTGATGTTACATTAGCAAGTGTCCCTGCATCAGACACATACACTACTGCAGTATGTAGGTGGGGTACAACCTGGGAAGACTCCCAGCTCCCATTCCTGGATCACAGTGCAGATTTCCCAAGGGCCAAACAGAAATTGTTGACCATCAATCAAATTGGGGGATGGAGATGTCTACTTGGTTGTTCTCTGCCTGCTCTGCACTTTATTTCGGAGCCAGAATTAGCGATGTGTGCTGAAGACATCCTGTAAAGAGGCAAGCATCTATATGTATCAGCTACAAGTATAGTCATAGTTGGGCACCTGCAAGAACTAGCAGGTGGAGAAGAATTTCTTTGACTTGACACTTGAGAGTTTGGGGACCCATTGGATGAATTGCTTTCTCCATGCCTGAAATATGAGGGATGTTGGTTATGAATTGGCTAGAGTTCCTTCAGCACTAGAAAAGTGGTGATCAGGTCAGCCAACTGTTGCTTCCAAAAGGGAAAGGGAAACCCCCACTGAAGAATTTGCTTTCTTCATGCTTCCTGCATGTATCACATCCTGCATCTGAAAACTAAAATGTGGAACTGCAGAAAGCATGCCTGTAGTTTCCACATTTTAAGGTATTAATTTACTGATAATTAACATTTTGTTCTTAGTGACAAGAATTAATATAGTGTTTGTACTGGATGGATATCAGCTTCTACAAGTTGCATGGTTATAACCATGTCAGCAAAACTAAAGAGTAAAGTGAGTCAGTGTAAAAGTATGGTTTATATCTAACATCAAATCCCTGAATTTGTAGGCAGACAATCTAAGAGAAATCTTATAATTATGCCATTTCTTGAGTGTTCTGTTATGCATTACAGATTTTCTAACCATTGGCTCTTCTGAGAATAAGTGGGCGAGAAAGTAGCAGAATAGGTTCAGTGCTGAAGTCTCTAAATGGGGTGATTGTATCTTCATTTTTCCAACAGTTTTTGAATAGAAGTGAACTAAAGAAGGTTCACAGATCAAGTATATGTTCAAAAACTACAGTGCACCTAAAAGCAAAATTGTACATTTTCAGTCACTTCAACAGTTGTTTTTTCTACTACATTTACAAAAGATACTTTACAGCTGTGACTATTTAAGTAACAAATCTTGAACAGTTTAAGAAAATGGTATTTATTTATAGCAATAATTTAGAAGAATCAAGTATATATGTTTGCAACTGAAGTTCTTAAATGCTCCTAAATGAATGTAGGATTTGCCACTAAGTTCTAAGCAATCCTAAAAATACCAATGTGAAAATAAGGAACTCATTGATTTCATTAGAGCTTCTATTCTTCCAGATGTTAATCTTTCACATTTGTAGCTGACAGCCCTTTTTCTGAGCCATACAGATGTTTGAGGCATTATCTAAAGTATAGCACTTGCTGCTGAATCAAACTATTTTCCAAGAGATTTTTCAGCAGTTTGGGGGCTGCATGAATCTACCCCACAGATTAGTTTTCAGGGTAGGAAACTAAGAACTTGTAAATGAGGTAGGATGAGGTTAATTTTAAAGGCAAGGTGGCTGAGGGTCTCCCCCCCCCCCCCCTTTAAACAGGGATTGGAGAAACTTTGCTCTGTGTTGGGAGTGGCTATTTAGCTGCCTTTGGCAGCAATCCCTTTGTAATTTAAGACACAGAGCCTCATGGGAACAACACTACATCATGACACAGCATAAAGCCCAAATAGAAAGAGAACAACTCAATGCCTTTGAGAGCCACCATGCCACTACTGAAAGCATGTGTTGTGGGGTTTGTTTGTGTGTTGTTGTTCAAGAAAAACAAGGAGATAATCCCCGTACCTTTACAGGTAAGCTTTCTCCTACTGAAAGATTTTAAGATACACTGAATATCTTCCTTTTCACGGGGAAGAATGAGCGTCTCCACAACTTTTTCCAGTCACTGCCAACCAAAGTTTAGGACTGTTTGGGATGGGGAGACTATGTGAGAGACCTCTGATGGGGCAGGTTCGTACAGGAGAAGGCACTCTTAACATACAAGGCCCTGACCTGTTCAGTGCTCTACAATATGCACCACTTCCAAGGCAGACTGCCAACCAGTGAAGCTCTTCAAGGACTTGTGAGATATAGTACCAGTCTTGATGGCCCCTGGCCAAACCAGCCTCAATAGGGCCCTTCCTTTGGTGCATCTACCTTTCCCCATTGACCACAGCAGTATCACTCCTCATGGTAAGATGCGCATCATTATTGAGGAAGTTCTGTAGCACCCAGTTTTTATGTTGTAGAATCTCTTGATTCATGTTCTGAAGATTATCCATTTATGCATGTATAACTGTGTCAGAAGTTTCCAGTTTTGTACAAGGGCTTGTTTGGAATCACACAATGAATGCCTGAGAAAGACATTACCTTGACATTTTGTCATAAGCTGCTATAATCTTCACTTGACATGCTAAAAATTGGGCTCTGCATACCATTATCCTGTAGATAGGAACAAATTAGCATACAGGTGTTTAATAAAACAATGGCACTGATTACCATCATCAGACAGGTTTAAGTTCAAAAATATTCTACAATATTTGCAAGACTTGATGTTGTAATAGGTTGCACAATAAGAAATAGATCTGACTTTTTGAAATAATGTGTTTTTTCAGTATTTTGCAAGGAAAAGTGGCTTCCCCAGAGTTATCTCTTGTGTAGTGAATATAACATGCCTCATCACGTGTAACTTTAGTCACATAATTTTCTCACAATGCAGGAGAAATGGGCATAGAGTAATTTGAACAAAATCACGCCCAACACACATGCACGCACACAAATGATGGAGTGTACAAGGAACGCACATGACTGAAATAAAGAATTTTGACAACACTAGAAAAATATGTGTAGTATGTGCAGCCTCTCAAGTCATTTGGATTTGATGATAGTAATACTGGTAGCTTTTAAAATGAATGCTGTATAATGACACACATATTTATGGTTGGGATTGCTTTCCATCAGTATTAGTTATTTATGCAGAATTAAGGAACATGTTATGTATTTAAATTACTGGCTTCAAGTTTATATATAGATTTTTTTTGCTTTGGAACTTTCTATGCTAGTTAAAAGAATTTCCCACAGCAGGCCAGCAACTGCTGTTCTTTTTTCCCTTTTCTTTTTTGAAAGTGAAATATATTTGGTTATATTTTCATTAAAGGTAAGTCGAAAAAATGGGGAGATAGCAAATTTGCATATGTTGCCATGGTGCACAAAGACTCAGAGGAATGCAGGTTAATTATTCAATTATTCATCTGTCTCCTTGTTTTGTACATTTGCACTATGATTAATTGTGTTCTGCTTCTTTTGATTAGCAGAGAATAGTGATGCAGACCCAGATACCATGAAGGCAAGCTTTCAGGGGTTTATTGGATGTCTTTCTTCAGTGCAGTTCAACCATATTGCTCCTTTGAAGGCTGCACTGCACCACTCCAGCTCGGCTCCAGTCACTGTGAAAGGACATGTGATCGAATCCAGCTGTGGCACTTCAACAGCAGCAGATGCAACCTCAAGTGAGACAACACATTCCTTTGCAGGTAGCCAACACGTGGTTCTCATTTGTCTGAGTCAGAAGCAGGGCTGAGCCACCCATGAAACAGGGGGATGCGCTGAATCAGGCTGCAAAGTGGGAAGAGCAGCAAATTGCTCTGGTCCACTCTGCTCCTGCTTCCTTCAGGAGGCCCAGTACGGCCATCTCCAGCAGGAGCTCTGGAGGCCCCTGGGAGCTGCTCTCCTCCAGTGGCATTTGCCACAGTGAGAAAGCTTCCAATGCCACATTTCTACTATGTCGTGAGAAAGCAACTACCACCCTCTGTTTCCTGAACCACACACATCCAAAAGAATGGTACTGCTGTCCTTGGGAGAGCTCCATTCACATCTCCCAAAACTTGTCTGAAGTTGCAGAATGCCTTGTGCAAACTGCCATGGGAGTCCTGCAGCGCTTCTTCCAGATATGATCAAGGGAAGCAAGGTCCAGCTTGCAGGGTGGAGGAGATGATACGATGCTACATCTTTTCTCTTGCCTCAGAAGCTGAGATACCTTGCTTCAGGTCTGGAAAGGATATAGGAGTTCAGCCATGGTTGTTGTGTTACCTGCAAGTTCACCTAAAGAATAGGTTACAAAGGTGCCAGATCCCACTAGTCCCCTGCCCAACTTTGTATTTTCCTATACGTGTGTTGTTTGTGTGTGTGCGCATGAGCACGTGCATGTCATTTACTTATATACAGTGTGACTTCAAAGATGACATTTGCCTGTTGGGTAGTCTATACTTTAAGAAAGAAGGGAAGAGAGAATTACTGTTCTTAGCAGCCCTGTGTATATATTCTAGCTGGTGTAACCCTCGTTTATAACTGTATGTAATTACATACAGTATGTAACTGTGTATATGGATATCTTGAGAATTCTCCTCTCTTCTTGTCTCTGTCATTTTCCTTTTTGTTTCTGCTGCAGATCATTCGGGACCAATAGATGAGGGAGAACCTTTAGCTAATGCAATAAGAAGTGACTCTGCAGTTATTGGAGGTAATAGGGACTCCATTTGAACATGTTTTTATTTTGTTCGGTGCTGAAGTGAAGTGAGCAAGTGCCCAAGCAAAAGCATACTTAACTATGGGTTAGAAAACCAGGAAAATTATTTCAGGAAGCAATAGCATAAACAAATTGTTACCTTACTTAGTTAATGCATTCCAAGTGGTGCTGTTAAAAAGAAAAAAAATGCTCCTCTAAGCTTCCACCACAGAACAACCTTTTTGTAACACTGAAAGAGATTCACATGTCTGGAAATAGGCTGGGGCAGTGCATAAATGGCCTCATAAAATTCCTCCAGTTATGGGCAGATGATTTCACTGAATTTTTCCAGAGGGAGAAGATATTCTCCAGCAGTTTTTTGGGGGTGGTGATCACTGTTAGCTGTGGCAATAGCACATTATGTCTCTATTCCTTAAAATGTGTTGGTTTTGCTGTCAACAGCAATGGTAGTGGTAGACTGGGCACCATATTGCAACCTTCACAATCCCCCATATATGGCATAGTTCCAGTGCAGTCTACGTATATGATGAGGGGATTGCAATCCTCCCCCCACCCCCCAAAAAAAAGATTGATGGAGAACAGTTGTACAAAATTCTTCAAACTAGTCTTTTTGATAAAAAGATTTTGTTAAAAAAGAAATATCTTAGTTTTGTTTTTTCCTGAATAATATTGGCTCATCTCTAGAAGATCTACAGTAACCATGCTCCACTGAGCTAGTTAGAGCTTCTCTGTGCAAGTACATTGTGCATTTTCAAGCACACTTCTGTGCATTAAATTTCACTGAAAAGTTCTAGTCAATCTGTGATGGAAATACGGGGCTCAATCCAACAGGGTGCCTACACCTCTGCTAATTCCTTTCTGCAAGATGTGAATCCTACCGGTTTGATTGTGTAGGTGGGACCTACTGCTCATGTGAGGGACCATCTTCCTCCCAGAAATGAGCATTTCTGTGCACCTCAGCTTGTCTTGGAAACATGAAATTGCCATTGTGGGGGACTCTTGCACAAAGGAATGTGTGCAGTGGAAGAGAATCAAAGTGGAGGGTGGAAGTGGCCCACTAGAGTCTCCCTACACTGGTCCCATCTTTTCTATCAACTTATGAATCATCCCTCAGTGTTGGAAAACAAATGATTAGTGATGCATCTTCTGCAATTATCTGTGTTAATTTCTGTAGTGAAGTGTGCAATGTGCTCAATATTTTTTCATTTTCACAACAATAATCTATGTTAGATTTTAATCTGAATTAGTCCAGGGCATTCTAAATGATTCTAGAGCATTCTAGATGAGGCCAATGGTCAGTTTACACAGTTTCACAACCACCTGAATATTTTATGCTAGTCACTGAGGTCTCTTTTTCCTCTTTGGTCAATGTGTATACTGTTGAGATACTCAGTACAATCAGAGCAGGAAAGCAGGACCAGCATTTGTTACTCTTACAGTTTGACTTGAGATGTAAGATTTCGGTCCTGAGGAGATCCCCCTCCCTCCCTCCCTCTCTAGCAGCATTTTACCACTCAAGTTTCATTTTATTATGAGGGAGGTCAGCATTTGCGGTGTAGCTGACAGGTGCAAGAGGAAGAGAGAATCCCTGGGGCTTCTGCTACTGTTGAGTGGCCGAGGAGACTTGCCAAGCTGTCCTAAAAGGGACAGAAAGCATTTATTTTTCCAATTCATCTCTAGGCAGCTACAGCTGGCTCTTGTGAAATCCCTTTTATTCCCTCCTGCAAACTCTGAGAAAAGGAGAGCCACACTTTTGGAGGTAGGATTGGCTCTGTGCCTTCCACAACACAACCATCGAACTGTATCAAGTTTCTAAGACAAATAGACAAGATCATTTAAAATCATTTGATGAGCATGAAAATGGAATGACAACAACCACCATTTCAGCTCAACCTGAAATACACATGCATAAGGTAGAGGAGGACCATACTGGATTACTTGGGGCAGCAGAATATTCCAAGGAGGAGATGTTACACCATATTTGTTCTTTGAGCTGCCCATGCTCAAAGAAAGACATGGGACTGTTTCACATCTTTCCAGAAAGTAGGGACAGACAAAGTGCAGGTGACAATCTGCATCTTTCCAGGTGTTGCCTAAAGGGGCAACTTACACCTACTTCCTATGGGAGAGTTGTGCTAGCTTCTTGTTCTTAGAATACAAGTATTTCCCCCTAGGGTATGCTTGTTCATCTGTTTATAAAATGTGTAACTCACGTTCCCACTGGCATCCTCAAACAGCTCAGAAAGTCACAAAAGACGATGTCATGTATTTGCAAATGCCTTTAATTAACTGAAAATCCAAGCCAAAAAATAAGCATTAATTTAAAAGTGCACCAGATGTAGGAAATACTATGCAGAATGATTCATCATGAGAGAATGGAGAATTGAATGGGATATCTCCATCTTCTGCTGCTGCTGCCATCAGCACTATAACTAAGAATTTGGTGATTTCTTATGCACAGTGTAATTATCACTGAAAATGGAACCCCAGTGCATAGGAAAAGAAGTCAAGTGCATAATCCCTGATTGCCGTTTCTGCAGAACATGTAAGGCAGCCCAGTGTTTCACTCTGCAACACTGTCAAGCAGGCAAGGCAAATATGCACAGGCAGGCAGTGCACTCACCTCCTGTCTTGCACAGGATGAGCAGAGTCAGCTGAGGGCTTGCTCTCATTCTCTACCGAAGACTCTTTATGTTATGGCTACTGACTCTTGGGCCAAAACCAAGTTCAGTTGGAAAATTTGTATTGCATGCAATTATATATTCCTATTAGCAGTGGAGTTATGGACAGGATTCCATAGCAAAAACAGACCTTGTTTTTCAGGAGTTCGGTCGATCTCTGTACAACATTAATGTGTGTAGGCCTCTTATTGTAGCCTGTAGCCAAGGTTGTTGTGTATAAAACCTGTAGGATCCATCAGGTGAACATGGGGATGTCAGAAAGTGGGGCTGCATATGTTACCCTCCAGGACCATCTCAAGTCACTGACAGGAGCTGAAGCTGTGAGCCAGCTCTCCTGATGATGAGCATTGTGATTCACCTCACAAGTGCCTACAGGACCAGGAGCACACCTGTAGGTGCTTGCAAGGATCAGGAGCTGTTTGATCGTGCGGGGTAACTAGGAGCCCTGGAAGGCTCTACAAAAACCTTCCCTCTGGTTTTTTGTAGTGGCTGCCTGGTCCTTCTCTCCCTGCTTCCAGCCCAGCCATGTCTGCAGTTGTGGCTTAATTCCTGCCTGCTCTTGGCTCTGCTTTTGCGCCTGGTCTGCGCTTGCCTTGCCTGTCCCTGCTCTGTCTGTGCTTCTGGTCCTGCTATGCCTTGATGATATCTGATGCTTGCTTGTACCTGGTGAAGACAAGATCTCCATTCACCTCCATTACCCCTGGTTCTGGTCCTGGTCGCTATTTAGCCACCTTTGACAAAGCCCTGCACCCTGCTCACTCACCAACCGCTGCTCACTCACCAATACTGCACAGAAGCCACATAAGGTCTCCTGAGAGTTGCCAATATCTCATGAGACCTGGATGGGCAAGTTTTGGGGGAACCAATAGAAGGCTCTTTCCACAGGGCCTGGCCTTAGTCTATGGTCTGATGCTTTAGCTGTTTACCTCTAGTAAATCTACTATTTTGTATTTGTTCAGAAAGAATGAACAGAAATCCAGAATGTCTGAACAATGTATTTAGGGACTCAAAGTTCTCAAGAGAATTCTAGTGTATAAGCAAGTGCAAATCTGTAAGGAATGGTGATTATTTTTAAGGAATATTTTAATCTTATCTTCTAGAAGACTCAGAGTTGTCTGATGGCAATATTTTCCCTTGGGAGAAAAGGGAAAAAAAAACACAAATTCTTCCCCTAGAAATGTTTTCTGTAGAATGGTGCAACCATCCAATTTCCATTCAGTGCGGGTGTATGTGGGGTGGATTAGCAGTGCAAAGAAGAAAGAAAAGAAAAGCTCATATTCTGATAATCTCTGGTTAAGTCCTGAATCGGTGTCTTTGGTAAGGTCATTACAGACTGCACAGATAAGTGACAAACCAAAGAGTTTAACTAATGAAAGGCTACCAGTTCCCACATATGTGAACATTTAGAACTGGAAAAGGTGAAAATAATATTTTTGCTAAAACAAGAACATGTGCTCACTACTGCTGCTGTTGCAATTATGGCATCCTCTAGTCATTAGGTACCTCATTAAAGGCTTATTATCTGCATTAATCACTGCCTTAAAACAACCAGAACAACAGTTGATCAAAGTCTCATGTCTTTAGCTTAAATGGAAGGCCATTCATTGCCATGATATTTATTTAATTAATTAATTGCATTTTATATTGCCCAATACCCCAAAGGCTCTCTAGCAAAAGCCTGAAACATTTTCACAGACTTCTAGAAGAAGACTACAAGAACATAGAAAAACCAGCTGGCTCGAACACCAAATCCTGTTTTCAGTAGTGTTCATTTAGATGTTTATGGACATGAATGCCACAGCTTCTCCACTGTTTTTGTTGTTATGCACAAACTGGTCTTCGGAAGCATGTTATCTCTGAGCATGGAGTTCCCATTTAGTTATCACAGCTGTCAGCCTGTGATAGACAATTACTTCTGAATTTGCTTAATCTCCTTTTAAAGTCACCTGATTCAGGGGCCAATAGCAAGCCGCATACGTCATAGCTCGCAGTAAGGTCTCATGCATGCTGATTCCACAGTGCGTCCTACTATCCTCTTTTGTGTTCGAGATTGTACCCTGGATGCAGAAGGTGTGGAAGTGCTTTCTTTTGTCCTGAATGTGTCATCCACTAATTTCAATGGAAGGCCTCAAGTCCCAGTACTATCCCAAAGGAATCTATTTTCTTCTCTTTTCATTTCCTCAGAACCTCCTACTCACTTCCTCATATCATTTCCCATATAGTTCTATAAACTTTAGCCTATCTACATGAGAAAGGTCTCCAGTCACTTGGACATTTTGATTGTTGCTCTGCCTTTTATAGTCTTTTAATATTTTATAGAGATGGGGTGACCCAACCATATTAGTTCAGCCTTCCCCATCCTGAGCCCTCCAGATCTTTTGAACTGCTATTTTCTTCAGCCAGGGGTCAGGGATACTGGAAGTTGTATTCCAAGGCAACTGGGAGCTACAGCTTGAAGAAAGCTATTATGCATTTACATGTCAACTTTATGATACTTCCCATGTATTTTCATATCCTTCTAATAATCCCTAAAATGAAATTTCCCTTCTTAACACCACTGCACAGTAGTTGTCCTCATGCCTGAGGTATTTACCATGACTCTCTTTCCTGCAGAGTTGAGATTTCTGTTTTGTTTTGTCCAGGCAGGCATAATCCACAAATATTTTCTTAAATTGCAGACTATTTACTATTTAAGAATATTCATCCAGACTGCCCACTTATTCAATTTGATGAGATTATTTAAAAGTTTATTTAGTTTGCTATCCAGAAAAAGAAGTTTAAAAAATATTTTACAAAATTTAAAAATCCTGCTCAGACCATTTATGATCCTGACAATCACTGATCTCAATACAATTCCTTGTAGGAAAATCCACTGTCCAAAGGATGTTTACTGTCCTGGCCTTCTCACCATGTTTCTGAACTCATCCAGGTATTTAATTTAGCTGGCATCTTCCCTTTTTTTTCAAATCTTTGTTGGGTATCCAGTTGGTAAACCACTGGGCTGTGTGTGTCCTGTGCATTCACAGCTGTGGCTTGGTCACAGTTTTTGTCTAAATTTCTTTCCCCCTACACTACAATTCCTGTTGTAGCCAAGTAAAATACAAGGACCTACCTTCAAAATAAGGGTGGATGGGTAGCTTTTTGTCCCAAAGCTCTATCAGTCCAGCCAACTAACGTATGATCTTCTATCATCTGCACAAATCAATTATATTATCTTCATTGTGACAGTTTTGGAACTACTAAGTCTGTAGTAGAAAATAAATTGAAATGTCATTTCATCTCCTGAAATATTCAGATCCCCAAATGAACTGATAATAGTAATTATGGTATAAAAACTTGACTAGAACATTCATAATTATGCATTCCTTGTTCAAGATAAATGAACATCACACATTTGTGAATTATGTTCTTGACATTCTGCAGAATGTTCTGTGCTGGATAGGACTATATAGGTACAACAGCACTACATTGCAATTTTGAATTTTCCTGCTATTACAAAAATAAACTGAAGCTATTTCAGCCTTTTGTGATTAGATAAAGCCTGTCTCTAAATAATTAGACCAGCCTTCCCCATCCTTGTGCCTCCCAGACACGTTTGGACTGAAACACCAGAATTCCCAGTCAATAGCTTTGATGCATGGGAATTCTGGGAGTTGCGGCCCAAATGCCTCTGAAGGCCACCAGATTAGAGGAGGCTGAATTAGTCTAATATTTCTCAGGATCATCCAAGTGCAGCTGGCTTATTCCAGTCTCGGTGTAGTTGGAATGTACTAATTGCCTTTCTTTCTTTGGCACATCCCTGTCATCCAGCTCCACTGTCTTTTCTTATCCTGGAGACTGACAATCTCCATCAGAGCTCTTGCTTTGCAAAGGCTCTGCATTCAGAACCTTGCAAGATCAGGGCTTTATGTCATGTACAGACTGTGCATATGTAGCTCAGGCTTTTTGTTTCAGACCCTCATGCTCAAAAATGGGAGGAGTTCTGGATCCAGAGTATGGAGATTTGATATATGGAGTGTACCTAGTGCATATGTCTCTGCTCTCCCCTTATCATGTGAGGGCTAATATGCCTGAATACGGTTTTTGCCATTCTGTATAATGCAAAAATTCATCATTGACTTTGGGAAAATACCAATATAGTCATTCTCCCAAGCATATAAACATGTCTTGATGATTCCAATATCAGGTAACAACTTGCATGTATGAAATGGCTATCAGAGAAATAACTTCAGAAACAGAACTTTCTTATTGCCTCAGTCACTTAAGACACAATGTTTTTTAGTGGAAAAGTTGTGGGGAGGGTGTTGGACCATGTATAAATAGTTAGATCGTTATATGGCAACAATAAAAAGCACTAATAGAAATAAGACTTCCATGTTTGGGAAAGCAGGATTCTCTTGCAGTATAATACTACTGGAAACAAAAGGCTTTGTTCACACAGCCATCAGTCAATCATCAAATCTGCAGTGGAAACAACGGAAACAATGTTTACGCATTGATAAATCACACACCTTACTTACTAGGAACCCATGGTGATAGGCAATAAAGATGTAAGCATATCAGAAAAGCAAGAAAAGACAATAGTAAAAGCTGTACAATGTCTACACATTTATGGATGAGGCCTTAGAATCATATCTGTGTTTTGATGTGGAAACCATCTGCCAGCAGAATTGCAAGATGATTCTGTTAGCATTAATGCACTTTCAGCTGTCTCGTGACCCATACCAAAGGTGACACTCTGCAGAAAGAGTCTAAGCTCCAAGAGTCTATATTAGAATACTCTGCCTAAAATATTGATGGGCAAACTGCAAATAATTAGGCAACAGTCAAGATTCCTAATGCATTAATCTTTCTTATTCTAGGCAATATCAGTTACAATACGGAAATGGAATTAGGCTCCTGAAACACATCCTGCACTTAGTTAGGGCTGGACTAAAAGCCATTTGACTAAAGCTTTTCCAGCTGTATCTTTCATATCCAGCCTCCTGATCTGCCCATCTCAGCAAATTTAGTCAGGAAAGAAGAAATACTGCTGTTCATTTAAGTGAGGACAAATCAGAACTTAGCTGAAAGGGCAAAACTCATTTATTTATTACATTTCAGTATTATCCAACAGCTGAAATTCACTGGATAGTTCACCAATATCCCCATCATAACACAATTGAATACAGCATAAAAAATTTAAATAGTGATATAAAAAAAACCAAAACAAAGCAAAATTAAACCTAGCAGCAAAACAATGTTTTAATATATACTAATAGATTTAATACCACAGAAGCTGAAGCTCTAAAATGCCTGGGGATTTTAGTCCTGCCCTGGTGCTGAAAACACAAGAACTAGGGGCTGGGCAAGTCTCCATGAGAAATTCACTGAAACTACCAGGGGACCTCAACAGGCAAGGAAGTCTCATTAGCAGCCATTCACCTCACTTCCTTTGGTTGGGGCTTCTGGAGAAGCACCACAGAGACCATCTGAAGGTACATTTGGGATAATTCAGTCGATGCTAATTGTGACCACACTCATAACAATAGGTTGAATCACGGGGTAACATCTCGATCCATAGAAGGAAAGTGTGATGCCAAGAATCCTGCCCCATGTAGGCCAAAGAAGATGCCACAATGCTGCTGTTCTGATAAATGGCAGCAGACTGGAGTTGATTCCGCATGCCTCACCCCCAATTCTGGAAATGTGTATTAAGTTTTTGCACTCACAAATATATACAAAAAATCAGGTCCCATGATTTATGCTACTATATGTTCTTCCCTCCTCCGCTTCCTCGTCTTACTCCTCCATTCTTTGCTTCTTCACTTCTTTGATTCTTTAAATCCCTCCATTATCTGATGCAAGGGAGCTCCTATGCACACATAAAGAAATTTTCATATATCTGTAATTTACAGTCAGGTCTACTGTGGCTCATGCGAATTGCTGGTTGGTTCTCAGAGGTGAGTCTCCAGCAAAAAGTTCTCTGCTTTGGGCAGTGACCAGCCCTCCTGGGGCTCAGCTGACCAAGTTGAAGAGTCCTTACAGCAACTCCCCACCCAACTATGAATCTCCCTGTTTGACATCGAGCAGGCTGTGCTTTTCAGTGTACTCTTCAGAGGCTTGTTGTGACGATGATTGATAATGAAAGCACATCATCTGCTAAGGAAGGCTGCAGACATTCATATTCTTATTACTGGTGTCAGATGACTGCTTACTCCCTTCTCTCCTCTCTCACGCAGGTGTGATAGCTGTTGTGATATTCATTCTGCTCTGCATTGCTGCCATTGCTGTGCGGATTTACAAAAAGAAAACTGTATATAAAAAAAAGGAGGCACAAGGATCAGAAAATGAAGACAGTGCTGAGACTGCCCTCAAGAGTGAGCTGAACACACAAAACGCAGTCAATGAAAATCAAAAGGAGTACTTCTTCTGATTCAGCATTAAGATTTAGTTTACTACTAATAATACTAATAAATATGTGACAGTCTGACTTTCTTGCTAAGCCAGGGGCTCTTGACGGACACACAAAAAAACTGAAGCACTCAAAGAACATGCAAAATGGATTAAAAACCTATTAAACTGCATATGTTCAATCTTGTTGGTTGCTATGGGAGGCCTCTTTAAATGACATGCGTTCCTTAGCTATTATAACATAAATGCATTTCATGTAACAGTGAATTAGATATTGTAACCAATTTCATTGTTGGTAGTTTTTGGCTGTTCTGCTGTGACTTTCTAGAATGGAAGTTTAATGTGCATACTGAACATGGGCTTTGAATGGGAAAAATGTAATGCAGTTGTTTTTTCTTCTTCTCCCCACCCCTCCTTTCCCTTCCAGTCCTTGCCTTTAGAGAGCTATTTTTCAGAAATATCGTTCCATTGGTTTGGAATGCTTTCCCCTTGGGATTGCAATTGAAGCAGAGTTAAGCACAGACACCAGTTTAACAGGCTGAAAAGTGCTTACCTCTGTATTGGATGCAGATGTTGACATAATACTTGTTTTCTAGTGATCACTTCAGATCATTGATATTGAAAATATTACTTCCATTCACTATAAGCTAGTGTCAGTGGGTTTTTTTTTAAATGCCAGCACCATGAACTTCCATCATCTTTGCCTTGCTACAATATTAAGTTTTATTACAGCCTGATGAGTACTGAAACTGATGCATAATACAGTCTCATCAATAGGCATGACTCTGAAGCAAATGAACTGTGAATGAACTTGTATTGCTTAGTTGTTCAGCAGCTAAACTGAACCAAGGTTTGATGTCTAAGGAACCCAAAGAGTTAACTCTCAGCAAAGCATGCCTGTGCATTGTTCCATCTTTTTTGACCTATATGTGCAGGCAGATGGTATTGCTAGTAGCAGATTGCAGCTATTTGTGTGTATTTCTATAAAAATGTAACCACAAGTGAGCAAGGTTATATAATGTCTTTTTAGGAAAAAAGAGGAGACAACTCTCCAATTATTTTACTGTTTGAATGACATTTAGGAAAGATGTTAGATCCTTTGTGCACTGAGGTCCCAGGTCTATATTCTGTTACCAAAGTGGAAGCTACTTCCATTGGTAAGATCTTACAGTATTGATATATGTTTCTAAATTCTGGAAAGGGGTTGGCTGGGCCATTTGCATGGGTCTTTATCACTATCTGGGCCCAGCAGTCAGAAAGAAATGCCTACAGGTCAAGTCTAGAAGGAGCAACAAAGAGTCCAGATTACAAGAAGTAGAAAATTTGACCGAAGCTGGACTCATAGTTAAGTTCCAAATCGCAGGCACAAAATTTTATCTGATGCTCCACTCAGAAAGGTTGGTAGGGGTTGGCCTCTGAGAGGCCTTCTGTCTTACCACCCTGCTGTCCTTGGGACTAGCTGAAATAAAGGTACGGGGGGGGGGGGCATGTCTGATAATCTGTGTTGTGATCTCCCTGGATTAGATGGCTTCTTACTGCCCTTCCCCCTTGAATTGCACTGCCTAAGGGTTTTCCTTTCTTCCTCAAAACAAATGACCCATTTCTCCTATACCTATATCCCTTTTTACAAATAGGGTTATCCTTAGAATTTTGGGTCCTTTAAAGGCACAGACACACAGTGGAAACAGGTTTTAGAGGATATGTAAATTTATGTATGCAGACAAGTGCAGGCTTTTTGTACCTTAGACTTTTCACTGCCTAGCACCACCCCTGCCCTCACTTGCTATTGCATCAGTGGCACTGTGCCACAGCAGAAATCAAGCTGTTGAGGCCTCCATTTTGAAGAAAGCCCCCATAGTAAAAGGTAGGCTGGGTTCCAGTGCCAGAACCTCAGTTTAGGTCCTATACAGTTGGAGAGAAAGGACCCACCCAATTGGCCCTAATCATGGGATTCTTGAATTCAGGTGCATATTTCATTGAGATCCCTCTATAACCTTGGAGAAATGGGTGAATGGTGCTTCATTATACAATATGGAAAGGAATTGGATTAACTGCAGATAAGGTGCCACAAGGTACAAGCTTCTTACCTTGCTGAGGATCTTGAGTGGTTCAAGCATCGGCATTCTGCAGATAGTCTCCAGGCTCCTTTTTCTTGCAGTGTTTCTCTAGTAGTCCTGAATACAGCCCACATGAGGTTTGGATTTGCAGTTTTATGTCATTTTGCTGATGAAATTGAAGAATTCCCAGTATAAAGTGGAGTGCCCATAAATTTATTCACTATGTTATGCACAGTATTTTTAAAAAACTAGATATCAGTTTGGGACTTGGATGCAAAATGCTGAAAAAATAATTTGCTTATGTGTAGATGGTATATATTTCTCTCAGAAATGTTACTTGTGTTCTGTTTCCTAAACTCGGGAACTCATTTATATAAACTCTAGAAATTTGCACTCAAAGTTTTGCCCAATTAGATAGAATAAAGAAATGCAATTCAGGTCTTCATCACCACCTTCTTCACCCATCATGCTCCAGATTGTAAAGCTATCTTACCTATCCGCTTCCCTTTTGCTGCAACTGATGTATGTCTGTACATTTTTTTCCTTGGCCTAGACCAACGCTACTTAGTCTATAGTTCAGTCTTCTCCAATACTCTACTGATTCCTCCACAGTGTTTGTATCCTGCTTAACATACTTCATCCTCCTTTTCCAACCATCAACCTCTTTTCTTTTTTGCTCCCATTCCTATGGTTCCTTCCCCCATAACTGTTTAAATACTATCCTTCTTGCATGACATTTTTGCCATTCTTTGGGCATCCCAGTAGCAAGATAAAACTCCTTATGATCCACTATACTATATAAGACCTCTTCCCTAGCCAAATTGACTTTTCATTTCTTCACAGAAGCTTCTTTGATATCAGTTTTGTGTTACTCACAGAACATTTATAAAATTATCATATCCCAGAAGCTCAGCCACTTTGCTGCAAGGAAAGAGCACAAGAGGCAAATGACAACCAGGGATGCTGTTTGTTTTGTTTTTCTTTTTTCAGCAAATATATCATACAAACAACACTCCCCATAATATTACAAACATGCCTTTTATTTTATTATCTTTGAGTATTTTAATAATATTTCTGTGTCCACAGTAAAATATAGGTTTACTATCAGGTTTTCTTTCGTTTTCCATAAGATGAAGGTATACCATACATTTCAGGAGTGGGCGAGGTGATCCAGTGACATTATTGTAAGAATAATATTTTTGAAGCTGGAGTAACGAGTGGTTCTTTAGAGATAAACAAATATATTGTGGCACAAGTCCTTGTGCACCAGAATCTATTTTATTAGATTCATGAAAAATGCCACAATAAATTTGTTAGTTTTGAGGTTGGCCTGGACTCTGCTTTTTCTCCAGTAAGCAAACCCAACTACCCTTTTACAATTTTTGAGGCTGAAGTACTTGCTTGCATTCTCAAGAATTATCCCATAGTACCAACTTACAAGATAGCATCTTTACAAGATCTTTGATTTTATATATTAGAACATGTACAGTCCTAACTTTTGCTTTTTTGTTGCTGAATATTTTTGCTTTATTCTTTTGCTATTACCCTACTGCCTTAGTTATAATTTACTGTGTTATGTTTTGGTTTCTTGGATCTACTTCTTTCCTACACTGCTAAAGACAATGGGCACACCAGCCCTGTGCCCATTCATTTCAGTGAGGAGTTTAGGCTCTTCAAGTTCAATTTTATTTTACTACTGCTTTAACTTGCCTGTGTTCAGTAAATCCCCCCTCCACCCAACATACATGGGTAGACATGGGAGTGCAGGGGAGGAGAATATGTGTCTCTCTCTCTCTCTCTCTCTCTCTCTCTCTCTCTCTCTCTCTCTCTCTCACACACACACACACACACACACACACACACACACACAGACATATGGGGAGAGAGAGAGAGAGAATCAGACTGTTGCTAACTCAAGGGCAGGCACTTAAAGCCAGGTTGTCCATTTACAAACCTTCAAATGTACCTGTTATATCATATATTTACCAGTCTGGGCAAGCTGGAAAATTACCATTGATTTGCTTCTTATTTTCCTGTTATTCATGTATTTGTTGGGAAAGATGTACAGTATGTCCGTTTTTCTTTTTTAATTTAATTTTTTGTGCCTTAAGGAATATTCCTTAAGTGTTTTTCATAAAAAGAATATGAGTAGAGGATCTCTTCAGCCTGTGTCAGAGAATACTGACAGGGGAAAATCTACAAGGAAAACACATATTGTGGGGAGGGGAAAAAAACACCTTTTATTGTTTTCTTTCAAGGGATTTAGAAATTATAGTTGGACCGAATGCTTGTCTATAGCTGTACAGTGTACAATATCTGAATTTCTTACAGGCAGCTAATGCCCTTTAATATTTTGGAAGTCAGAGTTCATAAACGTATGTTAAAGGCCAGACTAAAATATAAATACCTTTAGATGGGTCCAGGGAAATCTAGAAGTGCCTGTTTTCTTTGGGCAAATGTTAATGCAACTCTGTAAATAATAACATAGAACTAGATTGACCTGGGAAAATTCGCTCCATGCTGAAAGGGCCCTTCTACCAATGCCTTGTCAAATTCTCAAGTCTGACCAGTTCACCATTTTCTCTTCTTCTTTTGCCCTGGTTTTTGTTTGGTCAGTTGGTTTTAGTCACTCCACATGTCCCCAAACTTGTCAAAAGGGTTCAAAATTCAGCATTTGTCTGAAACACATCCAAATTCAGAAGCTGTGAAGCAACTCCATGCATTATTTTCTGATTCCTTTACAGCAGGGGTGGGAACCTCCAGGTGTTGTTGGACAACAACTCCCATTGTACTGCCTGGGGTGATAGAAATTGGAGTCCTGCAACATCCGGAGGGCACAAGTTCCCACCCGGTTTATAGTTCTCTTTGAGATGATGAACCTGTATTTCAGCTGAACCACTTTTGATTTAAGTCAGGATTAACCTGACTGAAGTTGTTTATACAAAAATGCTATCTGCAGATAGAA